CATTCATCCTGTTGGAGTTAGCCAACAATCCAAACTCTTCTGCCAAATCTTTTACGACACCTCTGACAAACTAACCAGCAATATTAAGTAGTTTCAGTGTCACTATTTTCCTTACTCTCTTTACCATAAAACCTGAACAAATAAATAGTCATATGACCAAACACACAGGCAACTCATTCATTAATTTATTCAATAAATATGACTGCAGTCTTACTATGTGCTGGGGACTGGGCTGGGTACTAGTTATCACTGGTGATAAAAATATCCCTACACTTTGGAACCTGACAGTCTAGAAAGGGTTACAGGTACATTAATGACCAAAATAAGCAAGAAATCTAGTTAAATAATCTTTAGATAATTAAGAGTTAAGAGCAGAAAATACAGTTTTGCATTGTTTCATCAGTGATGCTATTGAATATTTTCTATTTCTCTTATTTTAAAAAAGTTTCGTTTACAAACCCACAAATAATCTAACACGCCAAAATTTTTATCCCTAAGAACACTCATTAATAAATACAATTTGCTATATGTTGCCAATTCCATTGCTACAAGAGTCAGGAGGTAAGCTGATTTTGAATTACTGACAATGAGTAAAGAGTATTGTTCCATAAATGCATTTTATTCTGTTTCATATCCAGTATTAAACATCTAGTTTTTAATCTCACCTAAATGCGACACATAGCCAATATAATATAGTATCAATTCCATATTACTTTGATTTACTCTACACCACTTTTGACTCTAAGAACTTTAATTTTGGACTCAAAAAGCAGATTTCAATTAAGGTTGAAAAAATTATCTCATTCAGAATCACTGGGGATTAAAGTATTTTCATAGATTACATAATAATAGAGTTATAGATCACTTTTTAAATAAGTGATATGATAGAACAATATTATAATTATTATTTCACCTTTTAAAAAAAAGTGATTCAAAAGGCTTCAGGGTCATCCTTATGATTTCTAATTACTATAAATGTACCAGTTAATGGTAGAGTTGTGTTTTTAAAAGGCTAGATAGCAGAGTGAATTCTACGTCCTTGTGATGTCTAGGGTCTCTTTTCACAATAATTAATGAATCTTTAGCACACAAAAAAAACCTTTATTGAGCACTTAGTAAATGCAGGTTTCTGTGTTAATCACTCAGTTCTTCTCATACATAGTCTAGAACTACAACTTGAGTCAGGAGCCAATTAATATTGGATGTCTGATAAAAGATCTACCAATAATCTTTTAGTTCTAAATAAACATAAATATATATATTTATATATTAATGACAAGTTTATAAAAATGTATTAAAAAGGTATCTCTGGAAATATTTATGCTAGTTTTATGGTACCATCTACATTTTACTGACTGAGAAAGCAAATTTCTGCTCATATTTGATCCATATTTTAATGGACTAATATGTGATCCTGAAATCTAATGTAAAGTTAATAGGTAAGATTTGGCTTCAAGTGACAGTCTAGCCAAAATACCCAATAACATTTTTGTTTTCTGAGTTTTCTTTTTCTGTTATACCATTTAAGTACTTTAAAAAATTTCTGAGTTCTAACGAAGAATTGCTAGCACCAATCTCCTACTCACAAAAATTAATTAAAGGCATCATAATAAACATAATGAAAATTACTTTTCAGCACCATTTTCTTAATTGAATGCAACAAACTCTGAGGGTCTCTTACGAACCAGGAACTGTTCTTGGCACTGAGCATACAAAAATAAGACATAGTCTCTGTCCTCCAGAAGCTTAAAGACCAGTGGGGGAATAAACACTTAAATCAACAAATAATTTCAATACACTTGGCAGAAGTATGCAGAGAAAGGAAAGGTGGAGGGAGGTGAGGGACTGGGTAGGGGGGACACCAAGGAAGGTCACCAGAGGAGGTCATCTGCAAAGCCTTCATGATGATGATGCCTGAGGAGTCTTGAAAAATGAGTAGGCATAACCAGGTAAAGAACGGGGTGAAAATTTTAGTAAAGATATGGAAGTGTGAAATAGCATATTGGCTTATAGAAAGCACAAACAGGAATTTTCTAAAATTATGTTCTGCCAGGATCCCATGGCCTTTCTGTGGCTTTTTTTCCTTTGAACTTTGCCATTTCAACCTTCATAGACTCATACAGAGGGCTAGTAAACTCCGCCATTTGAAAGCTATATCTCTGAAAATCTCAACCATCCACAGCATAGAAAGGGACCTAGAAATGAAAAATGGCTACCACAAAAGCCATGTGGTGAGAAGCAGAAGCTGACATCAAGAAGGAGACAAAAACTGCACAATAACCTGAGAATATTTAGTGTAGGGGCATTCAGCTCTGCACGGTTCAAAACCCCTGCGAGAATATACTATAGAACAATACACTACTTGATGGTCAGAATAGTGGCCCAGGGTCACCAAAATAAAATTATCTTTTGTGTACCTTGTTTATAAACAAGGATCTATGTAATAAATACACTTGGAAAGCTCTCTATCCAATATTGTTTAAATAAAAAGGTTTTATATGAAATGAGAAATATGCCAATACCTGTGAAATTCATATTTGTGAACCACCTCATTTCTCAACCATACCAGATAGCAGAGATGTTATTACAGCACAAATAACAAAATTTAGCAACATAAAGAGTCTTTGGATAGAAAATATTTACGATCAAAGGTTGTGATAAAAGAAAAAAGTTATGGCTTCTGATTTATTATATGCATTAACTCTTTTCATTTTTACATGACAAGATTTCTATTTCAAAAGCTTATTTCATCTAACATCTTCACACTTAGAAAGTCTCAATAAATGTCTGTTGATGAGTGAATAAAAAAGGATTTTATATGCTGAAGGAATGACTGACTATACAGCCTCACATTTCATAATAACCTGTGGCATATTAATTTGACCCCCAAATTAGGCATAAAATAAAGGTATTCCATAAAGTATTCTACTTTCTTACATTGCCAAGAAATGTGAGGTATACACTAGAGGTCAAATCTCTATCCTAGATTGAGACCAAAATATCAAGATAATGTAAAAATACTTTATGTTAAATATCAAACACATGAACCAAATTAGTCAATCTTGGGTGGCTATAATTAACCAGATATTTTACTACATCAAATGCTCTGTCTTCAAGGATCTGATGTTAGAATGGCTAAACTCACATCATTAACCTTTAAAAAAAATTTTTTTTAATTTAAGTGTTGAAGTCTTTGCATTAAGCATACTATATACCATTTATCTCTATGGACCTATGAATTTAGTCTAGTCATCTAAACTCACAACTGATCACTGATCTATATTCTCTTTCCATTTACAGTCTGTACATTCTAAAGTAAATTCTACACAAGTTTTCATTCCTTTCTTATTCAGAGAGTCTTCATTCAGGCTTATCGAAAAGTCTTTGTTAGGGCTTTAATATCCTAAATTCTGCTATTTAGTTAGTAATTTCTTTATTTCACATTAAATAAATTAATTTGGTAGTATTAACATTTACAGAGAAACCTTCTAGTTTCCACTGATTTACACTATTCTGTACGTTATTCTTGAGAAGTGAAATGGTTAAGACTAGGAAAAACTAGTGTTGGAGTACTGATTTATAACTTCACAAAAACAAATTCAGCAATTCATTTGTAATAATTAAAGCATGAGAGTTTTTAAAATTATTTTTTCATAGTGTAGCAACCTAATTTTTTTCCTGTTCTTAGCCAATGAAACCTTTACATGTTAAAAATTAGACTATATAAACCATTTTTCAAATATTCAAAGTGCAAATTTTGTAGAGTTATTTTTTAAATCCTGATAATTCAAAATTTTTAAAGCATAAAGAGTTTTTCATAAGAGAAAACACTTGAGGCATTATTCAATAATGGCCATTTAGAAGTTTCCATATACATACTAAATACATACTGTTCATTGACTTATCATTTGGCATTCTACTTAGAGAAAAAAATGTTTATAGGGGCCAAGGTAGTTAAGAAAAAAATGTAAGCATACCCATGTACAAACCGAGGATTTAAGACCATAATATTGCACTCAATTATACTGTTGAAACAAACCCGTTACCAGATTTACCTTGTGTCCCAAAGTATTTAATCAAATTTTGAAAACTTCATGTACTTTAGATCTAAAGCTGCCAAAGACCAAGGTTCATTGGCAATAAGAGATCCTTCAATTATGATGAAGAAAATATCCATGCTATTCGTAGTATTTATCAAATAACATTTTAGTTAGGTGTTTCTCATTTATTAATATAATGAACATATTTCTCACAAATTCTGATTTTCCAAATATCACCACCTCCCCCAATGCATCTGCCATTTTCAAGGTTTTAGAAACACGTTGAAAAGACCATTGAAAAGTTTACAATAGTAGTGTGAAATTTTAGTTATTCCAAAGAAGTACATACTAAAAAATTTCTGAGAAGCAAGGATAGTTTCATGACTTTCAAAATGAATTCAAATGAAACTCAATGTGAGCCTGATTTTTGCTTTGGGTAAAGAAGGATCATTAGAAGATCGAGTTCCAAGGGAACTGCAAGTGCCAACTACTTTAAAATTTATCTTTCCCATATGACAACATTTACCCTTAGAAGAAAAAAACAGTTATCGTTATCTTTCATTCTAAACAAGCCCCTCAGATTAGCCTAATTCCAATGGACACTGAAGCCATGGACGACATAACATCCAGAGGGATTAGTTATTCCAACCCATGTTTGCTGCCATTTCAGGGACGCCCCATTAAGTACTCTTCCTCTGCAGACTTAGAGTTGACCCCTGACAACCACTAAGAAATAAAATTGCAGAGAGGTTATCACTTTCCAAAGTTAGGTCGGGGGTGGGGGGCAAATGAGAGATGTATGAGAACCGACACGTTTTGCCCTCTCAAATGCCTCATATTTACTTTTGACCAAAGAAATAAATAGAAGCAAAACCGAGATTCAGAAGGAACTCTCTCTGCTGCGTGCACCGGTCGAGCTTTTCAAAGACCCCTTAGAAAAGAAGCGGGCTGGAGGCTCACCTTCCATCTCGCCGCTGGGCTGGGCTGGGCTGGAGCTGCCGCTCTGGCTACCCGGCCGCTCCACGTGCTCCTGCCGTCGCCGGGACGCAGCGCACAGCTGGCGGGAGATTCCCAGCGCGGGGACTCCCCGGGATCCGCCGCCGCGTCGGCGCAGATTGAAAGGGGCAGGAGCCGGCGACCGGCCGGTGCGCGGGGTTACAGCGGCGCTGGCTGGCGACGGCTTTAAAGGACGCTCACCGCGGAGCGCCCGAGGTACCGCTCTTCCAGCCCCCTTTTGAATGTCAAAGCCTCTCGAGAACCCAGATAGGATGGAAATGGCGCATCAGTAAACTGTCCCAAAATTATTTTAGAAGGATAATGGATAGGAGAGTAATATCACATGGGGGAGGGGGGCTCTGGATTGCTTGCTTTCAAGTTTAAGTTCAAAGAGGTTTGTCTTAAATTGAGCAAAATCTGGAACTTTTGGTCTAGATTCGGGAATGATAGCCATGAATACCATCGATGAGAACCCACTTCATTCCAAGTATTATGTTTTTCTTCCTCAGTTTTTCATTTCACATGACAAAAGTTCTTGGTCCAAGTTTTCATAAAGTTCTGAGACAGTTCAAAACGATTTTGGCACTTTCATCAACTCAACTTTTTCATTTTTGGAAGCAATTCTCTCACTTCTGTTTTCCCTTCTGGGAAATGCTTGGTTTATTTGCCACCAGTCACACAATTCTACACACTCTACTTATGTGTCTTTTCTACTAGCCTGCCTTCTTCCAAATAGGATCTGAAACAGCTTACAAAAAAAAATACGTAATGTATCAGAAAAGTAAGGAAAGAAAATAGAGCTAAGGAGAGGGGGAAGATAAGATAGTAAAATTAACTCAGGGATGTTAGTACACAGAGATGTACCAGTCAACATCTTTTCCCAACATCCTTCTCATTTTATAGAGGTAAAGCACACATTTGACTGTAGGGAAAGGAAAAGGGAAGTGACCACATAATTTTTCAAAATCAGAACTTTCCTTCATACTGAGGTCTAAGGGATATTGTTCAGATGAGTCCTTATAAAGATACCCAATGTGTTGAATTGGACATGTGAATAATTCTCAAAAAGGCAACTTCCACTCCTCAGAAAATTACATTGTTAGTTTATGCAAATATATTTGAGATTTAAGGTTGGGGGTTTGTGCATCAGCAGACCATATCAGAAGAAATCCACACTTACGAGTTAAAGTATGCATGTTGTAATTTTATGAGTTTTAGTTTATTTTAAACATGCATTGGTATAGGAAGTCAACATATATATATATATATATATTTGTGTGTGTCTATAAATAGACACACATGTGTATGTGTGTATGATTTTTTTTAAATGAGTGAATAACTTGCATTGGCTTTAATATCATGTCACCATGGTAGCATCTCTATAGCTTGCATGGGTTGGAGTTCTACAGGATAATATCAATTTCGGAGAAATACTCTAAACACCAGGTCTAATTTTAGTATTGAAAGGGGAAATCTGTTGTTTGTTAGTTTCAAAAAGCAAAAATAGCACATCAAAAGTAGCAGAAGAGGAACTGTAAAATTTCACAGGGATGGTGTAAGGATGAATAGTTATTTGGTTATTAAAAATTTATAAAAAAACTTTTATCATCTTCCATTACAATGTTCTTTATACTTAAGCATGGAACGTGTTCCTACTTTGTAAATAATTAGTTCAGAATTGAGTATTTCAAACTCCAGAGAGTGGTACCTAAGGGGATAGAAAAAAGTAAATAGGTAAAATAACTTATGTACCTACTCCACCCTCAAGGAGGTGGAGCATAAATCCCCACTCCTTAAGCGTGGGCTTCACATAGTGACTTCCTTCCTAAGAGTACAGTATGAAAAGGGCGGGGCGGGGGGGAGTAACTTTATAGTAGAGAAACCTGACAAACACTACCTCAGCCAGGTAATCAAGGTAACATCAACTAGTGATAAGGCATGTTGACAGTATGCACCCTCGATACAATGCGATGAGAATGGCACTTTACCTCTGTAGTCTTCCACCCAAAAACCCATAACCCCAGTCTAATAATGCGAAAAACATCAGATAAATTCCAATAGAGAGGCGTTCTGCAAAGTACCTGACCAGTCAAGATCAGGTCAATGTCATCAAAACTGTCATTAACTGTCAAGGTCATCAAAAACAAGAAACGTCTGAGAAACTGTCACAGCCAAGAGGAACCTAAGGAGACATGATGACTAACTAAATATAATGTGGCATCGAGGACGGGATCCTGGAGCAGAAAAAAGAACATTAGGTAAAAACTAAGGAAATCTGAATATAGTATAGACATTAATACTAATGTATCAATACTGGTCATTAATTGTGAGAAATGTACCATACTAAGATGTCAACAGTAGGGAAAACTAGCTGGGAGTACATGAGAACTCTCTGTACTATCTTCACAATTTTTCTGTAAATCTAAACCTGTTCTAAAATTAAAAGTTTATTTTACAAGAGTGGATGGGTACTTGCAACAAACTACTACTCATTTGGTTAAGTCTCTTCTCGTAGTATTCAAAGTTTAGCACACAGGATTTACAAGGATCAATTACTTATAATAATGGGGAAGCCAATAAAACACTGTGGGTTTATAATGCACTTTGACTAAAACTGGAATAATATACTTCTAGGGAATCAAAGATAATGCCTAAATTTGTCTTCATTATCATCACATTAAGAAGAGAACAGTTGAGACTAAACCATGAATCTAGACACGGTAACTGACATGGGTGGATCTGACTCACTGAATCACATTTCATGGCTTATGCTATGTAGATAAAATTAACAGTGACTAAAAATGAAATCACTGACAAAGGCTGCTCGTGGACCATCTGAGATAGTCCAAGTCCTTATTCCGCTCAAAGGAAATAAAACTGAAAACTCGTAATCTCACCCCCAAATAATCATTCTGCACCCTGTCTGAACCTTGGGCTCTCTACCCACCAGCCTACTCAAAACCACGACTGAGGGTGTCCTGCTGCTAAGAAACAGACAACACACAGGGCCCTTCAGGCCACCAAATTAGTAGTCAAGAAGGAACCATGAAAGGCACGGGCATGGTCTCTTTAGAGCTCTCTGATCTTGACTTATCATGTATTCCTAGCTGCTAGTTTTCCCTACTATTGACATCTTACGTTAGTATGGTACATTTCTCACAATACTGATACATCAGTCTTAAAGTCTATACTTTATTCAGATTTCCTTAGTTTTTACCTAAGGTCGTTTTCCCCACAGGAAAAGCAGATTTGGGGATTTTGCCTTTCAATTGGGGCTGCTTTTTAAAGCAAGGTTACCGCACAACTCTAAATAAATTTGCATGCAGGGTCTCTCCACGTCGTCTGATACTTGAAGCTGAATACGAAGATTAAATGCTCCTCTAGCGCGGGAAGGCCTGGAGACGCCTTGTTGGTGCACTAGTGGTTCTTTGCTTTGTGGGTAGAAGAATGCAGTTAGGTAAAAATTGGGTGTGAGAGTTTGAAAAGATTGTGCACACAGTTTTGGGCAGAGTTCATGAGAAGAACGGCATAGGAAATTCCCACGCGGGGCTCTCTGCCTCCTATGAGGAGGAAATTCTCATAAACTTTTCCCTGCCTCGGGTCCTAATGTAATCGCATCCCCTCCCCGTCCTACCCCACCGCTGTACTTGGGACCCACTTGGGACCTACGGTCTCATCGATCTCTTCAGCCCCTAGACTAAGGAAGTGATCGAAACGCGAAGTCTTGGGTTCTCTTCCCTTACTTTTTTCTTCTCTCAGGGGATGCTGAGAGACGTAAGTCTCCAAGAGCGCGGGAAAATGGCGCCGGACACGAGGCGCGAAGCCCAGCGCCCTGCGCCCCGCCCCGCGCGCGCCCTCGCGCCTGCGTCCAGCCCCCCTCGTCCCCGCGCCCTGCGCCCCTCTCCCCCGACCGCGCGCGCGCGCGCGCGCGCCTCAGAGCACGCACGCAGTGTCCTGCGCGTCAGCTCCCGCGGTAGCGAAGGACGGGTAGAGGAGGTGATCTTGGCGGTTTGCTCCGCTCTGTGGAGGAGAGATGGGGAGGCGTTCGGCCAGGGCTGAGGGAGGAAAGAGCGCGCCCTTCGACGCCTCCCGCAACGCTAGCCCCTGAGCCGTGATGCGAGCGTGGGTCCTACTCTCTGCGGTCCTCTGGTACCTCACAGGAGGTGGGGCTCCTCCCGCCCGGCCCCAGGCCTCTCCCCTCGTCCCGGTCCAGCCTCCTCCGCTTCGCCCCGCCCCACTCTGATCCCTGGCTCTTCTTCTCTCTAAAAAGTCAGTGGTTTCTTTCCTCCGCAGTTGGATGGCAGCGTTCTTCGGAACGCACTAAGAAAGGCTTCATTTATGGCAAGCCAGGACACCTAGGTAATAAGGACCTCTTCACCCGCAGAGTCTATGAGAAGAGCCGGGGGTGCCGTGGACCTGCTAAGGCTCTTCCCGCGGAGGGAGAGGGAGCGAAAGTTTGTTGAACGTCTACCGTGTGCTCAGCACTTCCGAAGGTTGCGTTGTTTCATCCTTACAGTGACCCTACTACGTCTTAGTTGTATCACCTTGCCTAAAGCCGCACAGCTCGTAAGGAGCTAGGATTTAGTCCTGATCTCTGTCTCTGATGCCACCTCACTTCCCCGTGTCTGTGCTGCTTTGCCCCATGCGAGGCTCACTCGGAGTAGCGATTTCCAGAAGTCGCTCTGTTTGGAACGCCCTTATCCTTTCGTTACCTAGACCTCCTACACATACTTTAAGGCTCAGCTCAAATGGGGTTTATCACTGTGATGAAACTTTCCTGTAATCTCCAAGGAAACTTAGTCACATGGCTAACTTTAGATAACTTTGGGCCAGTTCATAGTATTTGTCACGTTTGGCATCTCTCCATGTTTGGAGTCCCTCCCCCTCCACCAAATTGTAGGACAGTGTCTCTTTATAGGTTCAGCACCTGGCGTTCAGTAGGCTTTAAAATTAATATGTTGTGAGACTGCTTTGGCTCCAGACTATTGCTGCTCCCACTAAATCCGAAACAGAATAGGTAATTGCAGCAAATCTTCCTAGTATGCCCCACATAGGCGTAATAATTGTTCCCAACAGAGGACATTTATAGTTAAATATCAAGTTTCCCTTAGGGATAACAATGATCATCTTTTTTTTTTTTTTTTGTGAGGACGATCATACCTGAGCTAACATCCATGCTAATCCTCCTCTTTTTGCTGAGGAAGACCAGCTCTGAGCTAACATCTATTGCCAATCCTCATCTTTTTTTTCCCCAAAGCCCCAGTAGATACTTGTATGTCATAGTTGCACATCCTTCTAGTTGCTGTATGTGGGAGGCGGCCTGAGCACCGCCAGAGAAGCGGTGCGTCAGTGTGCCCAGGATCGGAACCAATGATCATGTTTAACATACTTTGACAACCAAGCTCAAGTCCTTTTCTGATATTTGAATTGATTCCACTAACCCTTCTAAAAATTATGATTTTAGTGAGTTCTCAATCTGTACAGTAAAATGAACTTCTAAGTGTATCATGTACATTTTTATAAACAAAACTATAATATCACAGAAAAACGAAAAAGTATTGACTCTCTAGCAGTCTAGAGTTTTAAAAACTTACTATGAGAAGCAAAAAGGACTTTAGCATTCTAAATGTTATACTGATAGGCTAATTTTTAAAATAGTGAAATCCAAAAAGAACTAATATCAAGATATTAGTTTAAGAGAGTGTCTTTGGGACAAAATGGTAGGAAGTGTATTTCTTAATTTAAATTTGCTATATAATGTAGTTATATATTATTTTATTTTGTCACAGTAAAAATATATGTAAAATTACATCGCAATAGCCCAATCCTTGTCTGTATGGATTTTAAACGTGCTGAAAAAGAAACAGTGGACCCTACCTACTTATGGGTTGGGCCTAATGAAAAGCCGTTAACAGGTAAATTATTTGATTTTAATATCTTTTTTAATATGAACATTTTTTTAGAAAAGCACTGTGGCTTATTGGAATGAACAAATTGAAATTTAATTTTAACTGCAGTTTCACTTGCTCCGCACTGGGACAAATCATGTTATATCTTGGTCTGTGGCTTGTTTTCTCTTTATGCAAAAACTGAAGCAGTAATTTTTGTACCCTACTTCTCAGAACTGTATTAGTTCAAAAGGTTTTATAAAACCTCAAATTTATCCTTGTAGCATCTGTAACAGGAGATGAAGTATCTAATATGTAATTTTTCATGATGTTAAAAGAGTGTCTTGGAATATAAGCATTATTAATTTCTGTCTTATGTGAAGAAATTGTATAGTACTACAAGGCAGTGTAATCTCATTTACTGAATTACTGGCATAAACCAGTCAAAATTAGATGCCAAGAAATGAATTAAAGAAAACCAAAATATATTTCAGAAGTGTACTTATCTCATGTGGTTTTCCATAGAGTAATATGACAGAATTAAGATTTTGTTGAATTCTTGAAGTTAAAATAGTCCATTAATTTTTAAGTTCTTGTGTTTATCTTTAACCCCAAGTTTACTAAATAATGTTTGAATTGTTGTGCATTAAATAACTAAATAATTTACTATTTCTGTTTAGGAAATAACCGAATAAATATAACTGAAACAGGAAAGCTGATGGTGAAAGATTTTCTGGAGCCTTTGTCTGGACTTTACACATGTACTCTTTCTTATAAGACTATCAAAGCAGAAACCCAAGAAGAAAAGATAGTAAAGCAGAGATATGACTTTATGATCTTTGGTAAGAATATAGGCACATTTTAACATACATTTAGTTTGGATCAGAATTAAGTATATAGTTTCTTCATTTAGTGAAAATGAATCTGTTATATATAATTATTATGACTTACAGAGTATTTGGGGTATATTTGACCAGACAAACCCTTAAATTGATAGTGTATCCTAAATAATCCTCTTTCAGCCTCTACTTCCCACTATCTAGGTGTGCAAGCACAATCGATCACAATTTTGCCAGGTAATTTAAAAACTGATGTTTAATTCTATAAAAGCAAATTAGTGAACCTTTTCACTGGACATTGCTGACAGCAATGACACTTTCTGCAAATTAAGACCTTCTCTCACAAAATCTTATTTTTTTTCTTGATACTGTAACTTATCTAGATAGCCAGCCCACAGAAGCCATTTCTTCTCTTGTACTGAGTAGACAATATATCAGATCAAAATAACCTTTTTTCTTTAAAGTTATTAGTTTTATATTTTTTTGTGAGGACAAACTGATAAAACATTTTATTAGATACGTTTCTACACTGATTTGCAAGATTGATGGGATTTAATATAACATGCTATTTGAAAATTGTTTGGTAGAGGAAATTAATTTGAGGCACAGTTGCTTTTCTTCTCTACTTTTTTTTAAGCCTATCGGGAACCTGATTATTCATATCAGATGGCTGTACGTTTTACTACAAAATCTTGTATAGGAAGATATAATGACCTGCTTTTTAGAGTGCTGAAGAAAATCTTGGATAATTTAATCTCTGATTTGTCATGCCATGTCATAGAACCATCATATAAATGCCATTTTGTTAAAATTCCCAAACATCACCTCATACATGAGCTATTTATAGCTTTTCAAGGTAAAAAAATTTTTTTAATTTCTTTAATTTTATGAGTTTAATATTGAACCCTGATATATTACAAAATTAATTACCATATTAATGTGAGATATCTTACAAATAGTAGACCTTAAATGTTTGTAAGCTCTAAAGTATGTTGTTGGTCTTAGTCTGGTTATGGTTTTAAAAATTAACACATTATTTACCTTTAATTATGATATATTGTTGCTTATCTTTTAGAAGTCAATATCATTTTATAAATATGGCCTTTAACTATGCAGCTAATATTTAACTTGTAATTTCTTATAGAATTTTGATTGTATTTCTTTTTTGTGTGTGAGGAAGATCAGCGCTGAGCTAACATCCATGCCAATCCTCCTCTTTTTTTTGCTGAGGACCGGCTCTGAGCTAACATCTATTGCCAATCCTCCTCCCTCCCCCCCCCCCCAAAGCCCCAGTAGATAGTTGTATGTCATAGTTGCACATCCTTCTAGTTGCTGTGTGTGGGACGCCGCCTCAGCATGCTGGAGAAGCAGCGCATTGGTGCGTGCCCGGGATCCGAACCCGGGCCGCCAGTAGCGGAGCATGCATACTTAACTGCTAAGCCATGGGGCTGGCCCCTGATTGTATTTTTGAGAACTTAATAAAAGAGAGGAACCAAACCAAATTTATTTCTATTCATTTTAAGATTTTATTTATTTATTTATTTTCCCCCCAAAGCCCCAGTAGATAGTTGTATGTCATAGCTGCACATCCTTCTAGTTGCTGTATGTGGGACACGACCTCAGCATGGCTGGAGAAGCGGTGCGTCTGTGCGCGCCCGGGATCCGAACCCGGGCCGCCAGCAGCGGAGCGCGCGCACTTAACCACTAAGCCATGGGGCTGGCCCTCTATTCATTTTAAAGCCTTGTAGTTACTCCATTAGCCCCCAGATGGAGTGAAATCATAATGTGTACATTATTCAAATTGTGCACTTTATTATTAGGAGTAGATAGATTAAACCCATGCATGCATGTATACTGAATTTGGAGCTTTATTCGAATGTTTGGAAGTTTTTAGAATCTTTTTGTGAAGATATCATTTTTTTTCCTCTCTAGTTAATCCTTTTGCACCGGGGTGGAAAGGTGCATGCAATGATTCTGTCGACTGTGAAGATATCACTAATCGTAATATCCTCCAGGTGAGAATTTCAATGTAAGGAGAAAGTATTTGAATAGTCAATAAAACTATTTAAAAATTTTTGTAAATACTTCATTTTATTAATTAAAAAGTTTCTTCAAAAATCTATTCATGTTATGAATATTCATCAAGAATAAACACATTCTAAGCAAGTAGATTTAAATTGTTCTTTAAAAAAATTAAAATATGAAGTATTACTGATTTTTGGTTTCAGTTTTTTAAATTGAGATAGTGAGAGTTTGGCTACTTCAAGATGTTTTGTTTTGGAATAGTACATCTGGAATATTACATGGCTCCCTGGGTTAATATAATGTATTTTTTCTATGACAGAAGGATGGGGTCTTTGTTCCCCAAATGGTAACTAAGCAGCAGCTTGAAGAACAAACTTACAATCACGTCAGCCTAGGTTAAACCAGTGGTTCTTCCAAAATTGTGTCTATATTGGTCATAATAGTTGCTCTCTTTTCTGCCATCTTCAGAGGCTAAGGACATAGTCTAAAAAAATTCCCTTCACTCTCCTGGTCTAGTTCCTGAGCCCATACCCTTAATATTGTGCATGGCTTATGGGAAGCACTCAGTTAATATTAGTTATTATTAAACTCTATGGTCAAAAAATAAAACAGGAATTTGTAATGCTGATTAGAGAAAGTTTTGGCTTCAATTTTGCTTGGCTCTTTGGAATTAAAGATAGTGAACTCCTAGTTATCTACCTATGGAATATACATGCTGCAAATAATTCAAAACAAGTGTTTGTTAACCTCAATTTAATTTTTCTTAACTATTATACATATGCATTGACAATAATTGATAAGGTCAAGGCTAGACTAATTTTAGTATTAACCTACAGCTTTTCAGGAATTCATCTGTTGTGTAAAGTGTGGCATGCTTATACTACATTTCATTGCCTCTGATATGGGAGGAGAAATTTGGTTAACAGTTTAGTAATTCTCTTTGGTATTTTTACGTCTTAGGCAAGAGATCGGATAGAAGAATTTTTCCGGAGCCAAGCATATATTTTCTACCATGATTTTAATAAAACTCTACCAGCTATGCATTTTGTGGACCACAGTTTTCAAGTAATACGTATGGATAGCTGTCGTCCAGGCTTTGGAAAAAATGAAGGTCTACACAGTAATTGCGCTAGCTGTTGTGGTAACTATAAAATATAAATATCTAAATATTTAGGTTATATAGTCAGAAGAATAGATAAGTAATTCACTTAGGATAATTGAATTGAATCTTTGTAGTGAGTCTCGTATAAAAAATTATGTTAAGCTAAAGGAAGTAAAAATTTCTAAACATAATTTCTAAATATAATTATCTTCATGTATATTAATTCTTCCTAATGTACTCTTTTGTATTATAAAACATTTCTATAGTGTTCTGGCTTAAGCTACTGTACTGTAAAGGAAAACAGAATGGTCCTACTTAGAAAACAGAGAATTGGCAATAGGAACTAGAAATAAAAACTCAGAAATGGGGCACTGCAGAAGATAATGTAAAATGCTGATACTAAAGGAAAAAATTGTTAGGATTCTAACTTTCTCCTACCTTTAAGATCATCAAATTACAGTGTTCGAAAATTATAAATAATCTTCCACAACTTAATTGGCTGAACATTACTCAGTATAACATAGGTATAGATATGGTGTGATATTGAAAGCAGATTTATATTTTTGGTATAAAATACCTCTAACTGAAACTATAATAATCTACTCCATGTGTTTTCCTCTGCAGTGGTTTGTAGTCCTGGAACTTTTAGTCCTGATGTTGATGTTACTTGTCAGACATGTGTTTCCATCCATATCTACGGAGCCAAATCTTGCCCATAAACTTCAAACAAAAATTGCAATATGAAGACTGGAGGTGAAAGCATTGTTACTTGCTTATGGGGGCGGGGAGATAAGATAATTTGTTTATATCCCAGGGCATCATAGATAGTTCCATTAAGTAAGATCAGTAAAACCAAAACATTGAAAAACATACAATTTAAAAACTTTAAAAAGAGAGTTGACATGGCATTTCTAAGAAGGCATTTAATCTAATATCTCCAGTGTACAAAGGAAAGTGTAAGTATTAGTGGATGATTTTTAATGAAATATGTTTTGTTGTTTGCAGATTAAGTCTGTTGCTCTGTACCTAAGACTATATTAAGGTCAAGAAAAATAGCAAAGTATAATATAATAAAAACTTTATACTTTCCATATATTAATTTGTTTGAAATCACTCATACGATATAAAGGCATATATATTACCTTTGTAATTAGAACCAAAAAATGTTATGTCTTTTGGTCCCTTTGCCTTTAGGGGTTTTTTAATTATTAATTTTATTATATTTATATATAATAATATAGTATATTATAATTCATTTTGTTTTTTTAGTACAGTTTTAAATTTACAGAACAATTTAGCAGATATTACAGAGTTCCATATACCCACTCCAGCCCACGCCCTTACCAGTCCCCAGTTTCCTCTATTATTAACATCTTGCATTAGTATGATACATTTGTTACATTAATGCATCAATGTTGATACATTATTAACTACAGTTCATAGTTTACATCAAGGTTCGTTTTGTGTTGTATGGTTCTATGGGTTTTGACAAACGTATAATGTCATGTGTCCACCATTACATTTTCATACAAAATAGTTTCACCACTCTAAAAATCCCCTGTGCTTCACCTATTCATGTCTTCTTCTCCCCACAACCCTTGACAGCCACTGATCTTTTTACTGTCTCTAGAGTTTTGCCTTTTCTAAAATGTCATATATTTGGAATCATATAGTATGTAGACTTTTCAGACCGGCTTCTTTCACTTAGCAATATGAATTTAAGGTTCCTCTATGTCTTTTTGTGACTTGATAGATCATTTTTTATTGCTGAATAATATTTCATTGTATGGATATATGAAGCACATCTTTGTGGCTTCCAGTTTTTGGTGATTATGAATAAAACTGCTGTAAACATTTGTGTGCAGGTTTTTGTGTAGATGTAAGTTTTCAACTCAATTGCGTAAATACCTAGGAGTGTGATTGCTGGATTGTATGGTAAGATTATGTTTAGTTTTGTCAGACACTGCAACCCATCTCCCAAATTGTTTTAATGTTTTGCATTTCCACTAGCAATGAATGTGTTCTTGTTGCTCCTCATCCTCACCAGCTTTTGGTATTTTCAAAATTTTTTTTTCCATTCTAATAGGTATATAGTGGTATTTCATTGTTGTTTTAATTTGAAATTTCCTAATGACATCTGATGCTGCACATTTTTTCATATACTTATTTGTCATCTGTATATCTCCTTTGGTGAGGTGTCTGTTCAGATCTTTGTCCATTTTTTTATTGGATTGTTTATTCTCTTATTGTTGAGTTCTTTGTATATTTTAGATACAAATTCTTTATCAGATATGTGTTTTGCAAATATTCTCTCCCATTCTGTGGCTTGTCTCTTCCTTCTTTTAACAGTGTCTTACACTGAGCAGAAGTTTTTAATTTTAGTAAAGTCCAGCTTGTCAATTTTTTCTTTCATGGATCATGCTTTTGGTATCATACCTAAAAACTCATCAGCAAACCCAAAGTCATCTAGATTTTCTTCCGTTATATTCTAGAAGTTATATAGTTATATAACTATATATAGTCATTTATATATTCTATATATATATATAGAAGTTATATAGTTTCATGTTTTATATTTAGGTCTAAGATGAATTAATTTTTGTGAAAAGTATAAGTTGTGTGTCTAGTTCATTTTTTTGCATATGGATGTCCAATTCTAGCACCATTTGTTGAAAAGACTATCCTTCCTCCATTGAATTGCCTTTGCTCTTTTGTCAAAGATCAGTTGACTATATTTGTGTGGGTCTATGTCTGGGTTCTCTATTTTGTTCCATTTATCAATTTATTCTTTCATCAATATCACACTATCTTGATTACTGTATAGTAAGTCTTAAATTTGGTTAGTATCAGTTGTCTTGACTTTGTTCTTCTTCTTCAGTATTGTGTTAGTTATTCTGGATCTTTTGCCTTTCCATATAAACTTGAGAATCAGTTCATAGAAAACTATAAAATACCTTGCTGGGAGTTTGGTTGGAATTGCATTGAACCTATAGGTCAAGTTGGGGAAAATTGACATCTTAACAATACTGAGTCTTACTGTCCAGGAACATGGACTATCTCTCTATTTACTTAGATCTACTTTGATTTATTTCATCAGAGTTTTGTAGTTTTCCTCATTAAGATCATATACATATTTTCTTAGATTTATGCCTAAATATTTAATTTTTTGGTGTGAATATAAATGATATTGTATTTTTAATTTCAAATTCCACACATTCATTGCTGGTATTTAGGAAAGCAATTGACTTTTGTATATTAACCTTGTATCCTGTGACCTTACTGTAATCACTTATTAATTCCAGGAAATTTTTTGTTGATTCTTTGGGATTTTCTGCATAGACAATCATGTCATCTGCAAACAAAGACAGTTTTGTTTCTTCCTTCCCAATCTGTGTATCTTTTATTTCCTTGTCTCGTCTTATTGCGTTAGCTAAATGCTTTCAGTATGATGTTGAATAGGAATAGCGAGAGGGGACATCCTTGCCTTGTTCCTGATCTCAGGGAAAAAGCATCCAATTTCTCACCATTAAGAATGATGGTTAGCTTTGTTGTCGTCGGTGCTGTCAAGTTGATTCTGACTGCTAGCGAGTCTGTGTACAGCAGAGAGGAACCCAGCCTGGTCTTTTTATGCCATCCTCTCACCTTCTGGTGCTATATCAGCCATATGCTATGCTGCTGTTCATGGAGTTTTTATGGCCAGTTTTTTCACAGGTGGGTGGCCAGGTCCTTCTTCCTAGACTTTCTTAGTCTGGAAGCTCCGCTGAAATCTGTCCACCGTGGGTGACCCTGCTGGTATGTGAAATACTGGTGGCATAGCTTTCAGCATCACAGAAACACGCAGCCACCACAGTATGACAACCAACAAATGGGTGGTGTGGTTCACTGGCCAGGAAATGAACCCAGACTGTGGCAGTGAGAGCGCCGAATCTTAACCACTAGACCACCAGGGCTATGATGTTAGCTATAGTTTTTTAGTAGATGGTCTCTGTCAAGTTGAGGAAGTTCTCCTCTATTCCTAGTTTGCTGAGAGTTTTTATCATGAACGGGTATTGGATTTTGCAAAATCCTTTTTCTGTATTTATAGATGTCATCATATGATTTTTCTTCTTTAGCCTGTTGATGTGATGGATTACATTAATTGATTTTCAGATGTTGAACCATCCTTGCATATTCAGAATAAATCGCTTTTGGTCATAATGTATAATTACTTTTATACATTGTTGGATTTGATTTGCAGATATTCTGTTGAAGAGTTTTGCATTTATGTTCATGAGACATATTGGTCTGTAGTTATTCTTTCTTGTAATATTGTTATCTGGTTTTAGTATTAGGGTTATTTTGTATTAGTATTAACATTGTAGGTATGTATGCCAGTTGGGGTCCAATCAGGAGACAGAAAACACAAAGTAATTTGAATAGAGAAAGTTTAATATAAAGAATTATTCACTATAACAGGGGATTAGAATAACAAGGAATTGGCTAGTAAGATGTAAAGAGAACCCTAAAGAATGTAGGAACAGCATATATAAAGAGCATCTACTACCATTAGGACTGAGATAGAGTGTCCAAGAAGGAGCCACCATCTGCTAGGGCTGAGATCCAGACCTTATTGAAGAGGGCACAACCATGAGTCACTAGATGGCAAAAGAGTCACTGATGCTGGAAATTCACTCTCGGGCACTTTCCAGAGATCACCCTCTTGAGTGCCAAGGAAAGCTGTTCATGGAGAAATTTCTCACTCTGCTACAAAACCACACAAGGAGGAAGGGGTTCTTGGCAAAGCTGCTGGCCCCCATGCACTGCAGGATATGGACACTGGAGACGTTGCACATGCTACAGGAGCTTGCCAAGGGAACAACTCAGAACCAGGAAGAAAATTCCTTTCCTCCTGTAGTGTCTCTCCAGCATCTTCTTCTGACAAAGTTTAACATTGTGCCAGCTAGCAAAGGAAAATATTTACAAGGCCCAGATCCATTTTCACAAATCAGGCAAAAGGTATGTATTTGGAGCTGAGAGGCAATAAGCTGATAACTGGCACAGTCCAGCTCTGTGGCTACTCAGCTTCCATATACACCTTTCTACACACATTTGAACTCTTGTACGTTGACAAAGCAGTTTTATATTTCTACCTAAGAAGATAACAGCTATCCACCTTGCAAATATTCACCATTTCCCAAAAATGTGGGAACACAGAGTCCCAGCAGTCATTGTTTCTATTGCTGGCTATATTAATTACTCCTCAAACTCAGTCACAGTCCCATTCTGTCACCTATGGACTAAATTGTAAAATTAACTTCCAACAACTTGTATATAAAATAAAAATGGGAAAAAGAGAGAAGAAGATGGGTAGTGTATTAAAATAAACGTATGAATATAACAGGCAAAGGAAAAATATGCAAACCTACTTTACTTCTGTAATTGATCATAAGGTTCTAATTGATACCTATGGCTTTCTTCTTCAACTACTCATTCCATATTTTTCTTGCCCTCAGCCAGAACTTCAGTTACTCTGGGCTCTTTATCTAGTGGAATGACCGAAACCTTCATTCCCAAAGAGTTTGAGTCCTCATTATTCTGCCTTTTTTATTGTTGTTCCTATGTAGTTTTCCATTAACCTTTACTATTGGGCGTGGAAGAACTAAGAGGCACCCATGAGAATCTCCTGTGTTCCAGGCACAGTCTTCTTTGCCACCATCGTGTAGCAACCAAATTTTCCTTTGGTAATCAGGATCGATCACTCCAATAGATTAACACCCTCACTCCCTTTTTTTTTTTTGCCTGTTTGTTCAGTAGTATATGGAGACCAGAATATCCAGGTGGCAGTCTCATCTTCCAATTAAGGGAGGAACCATTGTCATGTCCCCTGGTGGAAGCATTCCCCATTTGGGGACAAAGATCTCCAAACTAGTAGAGATAAAAGTTGCCAGGATAGGAAGCAAATTTCTGCAAGTGGGTTATCAGGTGTAATAGTGAGAGGATCCACTCCCACTTCCACCTTTGATTCCTGGACTATTCTGTCTATGAAGGAGACAGCACTATATGTTGTTCTCTGATTCAAAGCATATACTGCATCCTATAAAACAAAACCCCTTCCTTTCAGGGTGTTGTCTCCCAACTGACACTGTAACTGAGATTTTAGTAAGCCATTTCACCTTTCAGTTATGCCACTT